AAGGCATCTGCAGTTGAACTATTTGGACGAAAAGCAAACTGTTCGTCAGAGAAAAATTTAATAGAGTTGAGAAACAGAGTAAAAGCATTTCAAAGATTTTGCTAACACTAGAGAGGAGCGATATCGGGCGGTAGTTATCGCAAACGGAAGTAGAGCCGTTTTTTTGTGAATGGCTCTAACAATTCTTAACTTTCATTTTTCTAGAAAATTATCTTGTTAAAGAAGCTGACTAAACAAATAATACCACTGAGGTACTACTATGTCAAGAGACAATTTCTGATATTCAACATGTATATCACTGCATGGCATTGAATTTTTATATTTTGGTTTACTAGCTTGGAAATACTACATATCTAGCTATCTGTCTATTTGACCAGTCACCATTTGGTGCAATGGGCAATGAAAATGCATCCCATTCGTTTTTGTTTCTTGCCGATTGTATAGCTTTATCGTAAATCAACCCCATTTCCTTTAAGTCTCTAGTAATTGTTTCTTTCCATGATGTTGGTGGTCTTTCCATTCTTGTTTCTCCTGCTTGTGGTTTCCATTGTAATATCTGTTTAGCGAGCGTATCCCTGTCCAATTTTATTAGATGCCCGAAGCAACGTAGTCGTTGATCTTCTATTTCCTGTTTATAATTCAATTTAATTCCTAACTTTTGATCTTTCAGAGCTTTTTGAAGTACCCAATCAATCGCAATAATAAACAGTAAAGGTGAAAGAATACATCCTTGTGTAACTCCCGTCTTGATCTTAAACCATGCAGTATTCGCTTCTTCATTTACTTTCACACACGACTCAGCATCTTCATATAAGCTTTTGATGATTTCTATGATTTTTGTTGGTATACCGTAAGACTTTAGAATTTCCCATAATGCCTCCTGAGGTACTGAATCAAATGCTTTTTCAAAGTCAATAAAATTCAAAATAATACCATATCTTGATTTTTCTATAATTCTTCTTAGGGTGAAAATTTGATCGCTACACCCTCTATTTGGTCTAAAGCCGGCTTGTTCTTCACGTAAAACTTTCTCTATTTCTGGTCTTATTCTATCTGCCAATATTCCACAAAGCACTTTCCCAGGTATTGACAGTAGCATTATATCTCTCAATTTGGATCGCGTAAATCACCTTTCTTTGGCAACTTTACAATAATACCACGTTTAAATTGTTTTGGGCTCTTATTTTGTTTCCATATTTGATTCAACAGCTTCTGCAGTCGTTTTGCTATTATATCTCCACCAGCCTTTAACATTTTTGCACTAATCTTATCTACTCCAGGAGCTTTGTTGTTTTTCAGTTTTCTTACGGCCTGCTTTACTTCGTTTAGAGTAATTGCATCTTTCTTGATGTCTAATAATCGACTCTTTCCTTCTTCAAAAACTGCCTGTTGTTCTGGGTTTGATCTATTGAGCAGATGTTCAAAATACTCTCGCCATCTGTCTTTTCCCCCCCTCTATTGTTGTTATTAGGGTACCATCAGTACTTTTAACTAGCAGCTCATTTGCAACCTTATGTTTTGTGCATATTTCATTCACTAATTTATACAGTTTCCGAGTCTTTCCTTTTTCTGTCGCCACTTCAGCTTCTTTTGCTATATACAGTTTCAACTACAGCTTCATATGTTGCTTTTGTGAAATTTTCCCACATGTTTGCTATATTTTCACCATTCATCGCCGACAATACTTTGTATTTATTCTGAAGTTTCAGCTGAAATTCTTGTTGTGGTTGTTTATCTTGTAGTTCAGCTAGATTTAACTTTCTCGAAATCGTCTTCTTTTTGTTACCCTTATTAGCTCTTAACTTTATTTTCATCTTTGCAATGACCAATTCATGATCACTATTTCTGTCAGCACTTCGGTACGTTCTGACATCTTTTAACGATCTAATACACTTACCACATCGCTATGTAGTCAATTTGATTTCGAGTCTTTTTATCTGGTGACCTACGCATGTACTTTTGTTTCCATTTGTGCTGGAATTTCGTACTTCCAATTACCAAATTGTTTGTCATGCATAAGTTAACAAACCTTTCTCCATTACCATTTCTATCACATATTTGGCCCTGCTTACCCATTACACATTTTTCTTCATCATTTCTTGGTTGTCCTACTTTAGCATTAATCTCCCATTACAATCAGAACATCATGCTTGTGCACTGAATTAATAACGTCTTGTAATTTGTTGTAGAATTCATCTTTCTTCTCGTTCTCATTTTCATTTGTTGGTGCATAACATTGTATAATCGTGAACCTTCATGTTTTGTCCAACTGACCAACTTAATTATTATTATACGTTCATTTATAGGTTTCCATTCTTTAACCAATTTGTTCATTCTATTTGAAACTACAAAACCGACACCTTGTCGGTGTTTACCATCACTATGACTTGATTAATATATTGTTTTCTCATTTTGTTTTATTCTGTCTGAGACGTTCATATGCGTTTCTGCGATACCCGAAATATCCAGTTTCATTTTATCAAATTGCGCTAGAAGTTCCTCCATTTTTGTTGTTTCCTCTAATGTTCGGACATTCCAATATCTAATTCTCGTTTCTTGTTTTGTTAGTTTAATTTTATTCATTGTTTGAAATATTATCCGTTCAACACCTTCGTTGCGGGTTTGGGTGTTGTTCTTCATATCTTCACTCACCGCCTGATCGAAACTTTCAAACGCAGAATCAAAAGACTGTTTTGCATTTCGTATTGTTTCCGAAGCAATAAGGTTTTACTGCAAGCGCTTGCTAGGCCACAAACCCTCCTCTTTTATCCGGGCTTGCGACCGGCATCGAAAGATGGCAGAGTTTACTACATATACAGAGAAAAAAGACGTCCATTTTGTTCAAAGCTGAGGTCTTGTTACGTAGTGTTTTATACGTAACTTGTATCCTTCTTTGTGTCAGTGCCAACAATGAATTATGTTTTCATATTTTATTAACAAACATATTTACATCAGAGAATGTTGACATTGCGTCAGCGAATG